GAAAGAGTTTAAAAACTAAACACAATCATACAATGATGAAAGCCTTGCATAGTTAGTTGAATAGGATGCAATTCTTCTCAACATTAAATATGTTTACTGATTAACTTTTATATTTCTGTGTCCACTATAATACTTCTAAATGTTGGCTTAGGTGCTCTCTTAACAAAGATAGAAAAAATTCTGCATAGTCCACAAGCACATATACCTCCACAAGCAATACTAAGTGGATTCTGGCCTTTTTCTCCTTTTTCCCCCCACGCTATTTGAGAACAGCTGGTTCCAGAAGGGAACCTGGATATGACTGTTATCTGTCAAGGGCTGTTGCTAGCGGCACACCTCTTAAATGTCAGGCCATTGCAACTAAGTTCTAGCAAAGGTGTGTTCAGTAGGAAGGGTGTGCTCAGTTTTTTCTTGTTTGAAAGATGCATCTTATTTGACATGTAAACAAAATATTTTGGATGCTTTTCATTGCTATTGGGGGTATTTTTTAAGTGGGGTTTATTTGAAGTGTTTTAAAATTAGTCAAGGCCAGATTTTCAATTGGTAAGTTACTTTGGGTATGTAATTTACAGGGGCAAAAGACAGGGGTGGGGGTGTGGACATCTGCCTTAAGAGCAAACAAACATTTATAGACCTGACATGTCAGAGGTTAAAAGGTAGGCCTTGACTCCCTCCAAAAATTTGGGCTTTGACATTGTTTTAAGATGAATGGACAAAATCAGTAAGGTGCTTATAGATGAATAAAAAAAATTCATACCTGCATTTAATTTGAAAGAAAATACCTGATTTTACTTCTAGGCACTTGACATCAGTAGTTATTTCCTCCAGTACTTATGTGAAATAAGATTTTTTTAAAATCTAATTCTTAATGAGCAACTGGTAGGACTCAACACTTCAGAGTCTGCAAAAGCTCGGAGCAGTTTGTTACTGCCTATATAAGACTTGGTGTGACCATCCAAAAGCTCATGATGTATGTGAGAAGAGATACAGGTGGTGTATTCTCATTTCTTTTTTTTTTTTTTTTTTTTTTTTTTTTTTTACCTTGGCCCTCCACCCCCCAATAATGTAGAAGGTGCCAGTAGAGTGTAACCAGTATTTTTTTAATAAATAATAAAGGCTTTACATTACCATTACTGCTGGATTATTGGCACACTTTGTGTGTTTGCATGAAACATAGCTGCTTTAGCTTTTCAATCATTTTTTGTGGTTTTTGGCTGGCTTCATTAAATTGGATAGATTTGTTGACAGCAGATAAGTGTCATACTATCCTGCAGAGTCTAGATACTACTTCTGAACTTTGTCAAAGAAACTGTAATTTATTCCTTTTTTTTAAAAGAGGACAAAATAAAGAACATGAAATACCCTAAATTCTTAGCTAGCCTGTCATTCATCATATCCTCATGAAGTATGAGCTGACCAGCAGATGGCAGTTTAAAGAAGCCTGTGAAAGAGTTTGAAAGTGCTGCTTTTATCATTAAGTTCCTCGTATCTTTCCTAGAGGGAATTCTTTCTGTAACATCCAGTGTCAAAACAAGCTCAGTTGCTGGTTATAGCTACAGCTTCTTGCTTTTCCATGGCCTCTAATAATGCAAGTTATAATAATGCAAGGCTTATGTTTTGCTCTTTTTCTGCATATTAAACAGTATATTTTTTTTTCTCATTACCGATTTGATGCAAGTTTGGTTTCTCTGCATTTTTTAGTGGGTATTAGCATGTATACACAATGGAGAAAACACATACCATTCTTAAAAGGTAAGGTATTTGACTGAGAAGGCAGTCATGAGACATGTACAACTTGCAACTAAAAAAGTACATCAGCTCCATTTATTGACCCTGGAGTCTAGTTGTCCTGCAGTATACAACTAAAGTATTCTAGGCACGCTTACCGGAGGTAAAAATAACTGTCTTTGAGATCCTAAGAACAGGAAGGAAGAAAGGAATTCATACTATTTTAAACAAACTACTGCCTTAAAGAAGAAATATTTGAAGGTTGTTAAACCTTGCAGGTTGTTAAATGAAGTCAGTGTGCTTCTAGCATTTCATTCTAGCTTCCTTCGAAGAATTATTTTCTCTTCAAAACAATACTTAAGGATAATTTAATACAATTTAAATCCTCTGACTTAGCAGACAGTTGTTTCCTGTGTTTGTTTGTGTATGCCTATAGATATTTTTTTTATTTTTTTATTTCCTGTTTCGATGCGCCAGTGAGCAGTTAGGGGTATGTTTTTGTGGAACACTGCAAGTAATTGGACTTGTTTCTTGCTAAACCTCTGCTAAAGCCTCTTAACAATTGCAATGACCTGCATCGCCCACCAGATCATAAAGTTTTGTTATGATGCTTCTACTTTCACATGGAAAAAAGTTCTAGGCTTGGCTCTTGTTCTTTGGCAGCACATTCTGTGTAGAAAATGAAATTTCTTATGTAATTATTCTCATCTTGTGTATTACTTAGGCTTCAGAGTGCAGAGAATCTGTTTACTGAATGTTTACATGATACAGGTTTTTATTCCACCTCCCCTACCAAAGTATCATGAGTATCTGTAGGCAATTTTATAATGTTTTAAAATGTTCTCAGAGTTTTAATTAACTTTCCAGGCAAATTCAGAAATGCATAATATCCTTATCTGAAACGTCTAACTCCTGCTAATAATAAAAATGAAACTTGTCCCAGGCCGTCTTTTTTGCTATTATAGTACTGTGTACACTTGTGGCACCGCATACTTAAAGAATTTATCTAGTCTAGCAGTATGGGCCAAAATATCATTCTTCATTCAGTTCAGGAATTCTTATACTGAAATAAAGGAAATGTTAACTGTAACTCAAATTGGCTCTGTCAGTTTTTCTGTCTCCGTGTGGGTGCACGATAGATTGTCTTTTGAATACAGTCTGATCTGTTGTTTGTATGTTGCTTATTGACTTACTCTTATATCAGTTGTGCTTAGATTTAAAAAACCCAACCCTCTAGCCGCTG